ATAACAATCCTATTATTACTATGTATTATTAATGTGTACATTTGTGGGTGAGAAAACAGATGCCTTGAATGGAAAGAACATTGAATTGAGAGTCTAAGAGACAGTGTTAATTTTAATTCCACTGCTGACCTACTGACATGAGACATGCATATAAAACTCAATCTATACACATAAAGAGGTAATATGCAAATTAGGCTGGGACGCCGTAACAGGTCACGATCAGACAGGAGGAGGTTGTGCGTGCGCAGGTGAGGTTGGGAGCAGAGACAGACACAGGGAGGCCTTCCCAAGCCGGAGTAGTGGCTCCGGTGGCCTGGAGCGGACACAGGTAGGGGGGCCAGGGAGGCTTGGGGCTGGCCGAGCTGCCGTGCCGGCTTGGGCAGCCCTGGAGCAGACATAGGGAGGGGAGTAGGGGGGGGCTTGGGGCGGAAGTCAGGTGCGGGTCCCAGCTGCCTACAGCGCGGTCCAGCCTGACTCCCATGGGGTGCCTCCTCACACGGTGGGAGGCGGGGCACCTCCTCGCACGATGTCAATTGCGCCCTGAGCCTCCAGTTTGTCTATAAAATGGGAGAGAAAATTGTCTGCCTTGTAGTATACCAATCACATCCCATAAGAGAATGGATGTATGCTTGCCTTGTAAACTGCATTCAAAGGGACTCTTATCATTCTTTTCATCCTCACCCAGCAACTGTGGTGGCCCACTCAGACTGCCTGATAAAAACCCTCATTTTATAGAGGAGTAAACTGGCTCCAGATTCTGCTTAGTCATGCTCTCTAAGCTTCTGCTCCTCACTGTGCCCTTGATCCATCTGAGAGGGGGAAATAAAGATAACGGGACTGAAGTGGAAGCAAAGATGGTGCTTGTAAAATAAATGCTGTGTGTAAATGATTGGTTGGAGATGGTTCCATTTCTGTTTCAGGCAACAGGCCACTGGTGCTGAATTTTGGAAGTTGTACCTGACCTTCATTTCTTTTCAAATTTGACCAATTCAAGAGACTTATTGAAGACTTTAGCGCCATAGCAGATTTTCTCGTCATTTACATTGAAGAAGCACATGCATCAGGTACACAAAGATTCCCTGCCTCTACCTCCTCCTGCCCTCTCTTTACTTGCTTCCCTTCCACCAATGTTGGGGGTGGGGAGAGGTATAGGAGGAGAGGGAAAGAGTTGCTGTTCACCCACCATCTCCCAGTCCCTGCTAGGTTTACCCACCACTTGCTAACTTCAGTCTGTGATTTCAACTAGGCACACAGAGCAGGAAACCTGGAGTGACAGGGTCTAGATGGGGGAGCATCTAACATTCTGAATGGATAAGTAGGGAAATCAAGAGAGAGGAGCTAATATGAGCACAATTACAAGGAATTTAGAGCTGAAATGTCACAAGTGAAATGACTGCTATTTAACTTGTGAAATCCATCCCAAGCCCTTCTGAGCTCAAAGGGACATCATGGTTCATCTCCATCAGTGGTTCCCAAACTTTAGTGACCGTCAGGAGCACCCAGGAGGCAGAGTCTGAGTCAGATCCCCGTGGGGGCTCAGAATGTGCATTTTTAACAAGCTCTGGGCGATGCTGAAGTTGGTCTGGGGACCACACTTTGAGAATCACTCCCCTGGGACAGGAATCCTTTCTTCAGTCCCTAACAGGTGGTCACCCATCTTTATTACTTCACTAGAGATCTGGTGCATGAAAATTCATGCACTGGAGGGGGATCCCTTAGCCCGGCCTGCCCCCTCTCATAGTCCGGGAGCCCTCAGGGGCAGGAGGTGACCCGGTGATCAGAGGAAGGCAACGCCCCATCCCACCTCTGCTGCTGCCACTGCCGGCAGCGCAAGCCTCAGCCGGCCCTGGTTACCTGAGCCTCGGGCGGCCCTGGGCGGCTGCGGGGCTGAGGGGACTGGGGGACTCCGGAGGCAGACGGCCTTGCCGTGTGCCTGCTGCCCTGGCAGGGCTGAGGAGACTGGGCACCGCCATCTTGTGCTGCCATCTTTGAGGATGGGGCAGTCAATTAAGCATATTCCTTCCTTATTGGCTGTGGGTGCCGCCATATTTGAGGGCGGTGCAGCAATTAGCATATCCCCCCCTTATTGGCCATGGGTGCTGCCATTATTGTGATGGTGTGAGGGTCAATTATCATATTCCCTCTTTATTAGATAGGATGGGAAATCTTCCTTTACTGGACAGCTCCATTTGCGAGAAAGCCCTTTCTTGCAATGGGCAGATATATCCTTCCCTGAAACTTCTACATACAGTGGGGCCTTGACTTACGAGTTTAATTTGTTCCGAGACCGAGCTCGTTAAGGAGCTCATTAAGGAGCTCGTTAACTCAAATTACTCTATCAACTCAATGCAAAAAATCGGGCCAAGAGACAGCTGGTATCTCAAAAAACTCGTTAGTCGGGACACTCGTAAATCAAGGCCCCACTGTATTGGTCTAAGCCCCACAAAGTTTACAAAATGGTCACATACTCTTCTATCTTTCCTGCTTTTTATGGGGGTCAAACCTATGAAGTTGGCCCAACTCTCAAACCCAGAGATTGAAGAAGGCAAGAGGTTTGGGTGGCCGCGTGGAATGAGTGTCATTTATTCACCTTTCTTCCCACAATATTTGTTTTTGTCGGCCAGCACCAGGCAGACTCCATGTCCCAGAGCTAGAGCTCAGTAAAAGGTGGGTGAATGAGTGAAGTGAGTGGTTTAGGTCAGAATTGGCCTTGCTGGCTCCTCCATGTGTTGTAAGTGTAGAGATTGCTATTAATTAATTATCAGCAAAGTTGATTCAGCAGTGCTTTCTCCAGTGCAGTCCCAGGATCCCTAGTGTCAGTGCCACCTGGGTTGCTTGTTGAAAATGCATATTCCTGGGCCCTAACCCAGGCCCATTGCATCTTGATTTATATGTACCCAAAGGTTTGAAAATTGCTTTCAACTTATTCATTTAACTGGCAGCTCCTGTCCTCATTAAGACTTTGGGGAAACTTAAAATATTAGCATAGGGTAATAGGTACTTAGAGGTTTTACTATATTCTTCTCTCAGCTTTTATGTATATTTAAAAATGTCTGTAATAAAATTGAAACAGTAAAGAAGGAAAACGTGGGTGCCCACAGTGTCTGGCCTCCACGTCTGAACGGAGATGCTGCTTTGGTGTCATCACAGCTGACAGCTGAAGCTCGGCCCAGGCTGATTTAACTGTCTTGGGCCAGCACTTCTCAAATTTTAATGTTTACACTTAAGCCACCTGGGATCTCACTAGGATGCAGATTCCAGCTGAGCCACCAGGCCAGGGCCTCCCCAGGTGATCCTGAGATTGCTGCTTCAGGGACCACAGTTGGATTAGCAGGGTCCTAGAGGATCCAGATTTAATCTCTAAAAAATAAGTTGCAAACTGGGACAAGGGTGGTCAAACCATCACAGAAATTGTTTCTGGTCCTGATATCTGTCTCCTCACTCATTTCTCCTTGAATCAGACCTAGCCGATTTAACCCTTTCCATAGCCCAGGGCTGCCCACCTCATCCGCTGAGGAAAAGCTTCCTGTCCCTATCCTGACACAGACCTGATTTCTTGCCCCTGTGCTCTGCCACTCCTAGTTGGGGCATTTCTTTCTCCTCCCCACTTCCTTCCCCAGGGTACTTGTTTCTTTCACTCAGACAGAAGTGGGTATGGCCTGAACCCCACAACTGAAGTGCACAGAGCCAGTGTCCACCGATCCCAGGAGGTCTGGGATCTGTGGCCCAAATCAATTTCCATTTTCACAGATACCACGTTTGTCCAGGTAAATTATGGGAAAGTAGGTGATGTGGTGGGAGGAGCAGACTGGAGTTTCGGGCCTAAACCTGAGTCCTGTCTGCATTGTGTGCTGGCCACACAACCTGGGCCAGCGTACCTTCCATGTCAGCTTCTGCGCCACTAAAATGGGATGACAGCACTGATCCCACAGAATCACTCAGTCAGCAATATTTAACATGTGCCTGCCATGTGCCCAGCCCTGTGCTGGACCTGGGGCTATAGAGATACACACAGTTCTTGCCTCTAAGGAACTCACAGCTGAAGTTGGGAGGGAAGTCAGCGCTCCTGTTTGGGCATCCATGATCTCAGCTGCAAGATGGGGAGCAGCTCTGTTTGGCCTCCACAGGAGGCTGCTGTGAAGCTCCATCGACTAATTTCCCGAACGTGGTGCTATTGTCATCTAAAAAGTTTTGATGTCATGGGGCAGGTAATAAATACTTTAAATACTGGTTTTTCTTGGGGTGAGGGTACTGAGCAGAGGACTTTGAAACACTGAGGAGGTGAAGCAAATTCTGCTGATGGACTTAAGCAACTTATATTACCCTGGGAGGTAACTATTATTATAAACACAGGCCATGTGGCTTCCAAAGGAAACTATGACCACATTATCTGGGTTCCAGGCTCCTCAGAAATGGGGCAAGTAGAAGGGGACATAGCAATTTATGGTTACTTTTTCAACCTGTGGGTCCATTAGCTAATAAGTGCCACCTCGTGTGAGCAGGCAGAAGGGCACCCTGGCAAATGAGGCCAATTGAAAGTCTTCCATTTAACTTAAGTAGCTTTAAATGGTTTTGTTTGGAAGGGGCTGGGGGAAACATCTTCAGAGCAAAGTAGCAGAAAATCTGCAGTACATAATAAAAACTGGGTTCTTTCCTACCTTTCTGTTATTTGGAGCAGTCAGACAAAATAAACTAAGATGTTTTGAGCAGGTCCTATGACCCAGGCTGAGAACTGGGAATTCCATTCATGTTATCTGATTTAAGCCTCACAGTCCTCTACTTAATAGGTTCTATTCATTAGTAGGTCCTATTAACCCATTTTACAGATAAGAAAACTGAAAATTTAGAGTTTTAGAAAACTTGCCCAGTATCACACGACTTAGTGTGTCAGGGAAACCTTCCTGGAGATGATGTTCTCAACCAAGGGGAATTTTGTCTTCCAGGGGTCATTTGGCAATATATGAAGACATTTTTGGTTGTCACAAATTGAAGGTGGTGGGGAGGTTGTGGTTCAAAATCCTACAACACACTGGATGCGCCCCCCCCCCCCAACAGAATTATCTAGCCTGAAATGTCAATAGTGCCAACATTTAGCAGCCCTGTGTACAGTTGAGCCTTAAAAGGACAGGTAGGATTTCAAACATGGAAGAGATGGTAAGGAGAAAGGCAAAGGGGTGTCAGCATCATTTGAGGAGTCCACTCCAGCTAGATGTGAAAGGACTAGCAGCCGTGATTAGAAATATAGGTGGGGAGAGATGACAGGGATCATTGAATGTTATGCTAAGGAGTTGGTCTCATAATTGGTGTTTAATCAGAAAAAAATATGATCAAATTTTGTGTTGGGAATCATTCTCAGAGATTTCTGGATGACGAGTTAGAAGGTAGTAAGACCAGGAGGTCATTGCCAGGCTAGGAGCTTTACTTGGCCCTAAGCTCACCCTGAGTGGCTTATTATAAGGCTGTTAGAGAGTTAACACATCAGCTGCAGCAGAAGTCACAGTATCCAAACAAGGAGAGAAAGTCCAGCTAGAGGCAGGAGCTGTGATGAAAAAGGCAGAAGTGAGAGACAGCTTGGGGGTGAGGGGTCGAGGATCCCCAACTAGTACACTGGCTGGAGCAAAAAGCTGGAAGAAGACCAGAGAGATGGGCCAGGTCACTAAGGACCTGGTAGACCACCCTGAGGAGCTTGGGGCTTATCCTGCAGGTGATAGGGAGCCACTGAAAGATTTAAGCAGGAGAGTGACATAGTCAGATTTGCATTTTTTGCAAGGAACTCTTGTGGAGAATAATTAGAAGAGGAAAACTGTCTAGACTCTAGAGCAGTTCTCAAATTCTGGCATGTGTTAGAATCATCCGGAAGGCTGTTAAAACTGATTGTTGACCCATTCTTGGTCAGTCTATGTTGGAGCCCAAGAATTTGCATGGCTAACAAACTCCCAGAAGATGCTGATGCTGCTGGTCTGGGCAGCTCACACTTAGAGAAATACTGCTCTAGATCCTGGCCTAAGTGTGGTCCAGGCACCGGCAGCCTTGGCATCCTGGGAGCTAGCTAGGCTCAGGGCCACCCTAGACAGACGGAATCAGAATCCTCCTTTAACGAGATGCCTGAGTGATTCATTATCACATTAGAGTGTGAGAAGCACTGGTCTGTTGGATTGTCACACATTGAAGAGCCGAGATCTGGATGTCAGGAGCCACGGGCTTTAGTTCTGGATCAACCACTAACTCCCTATTGATCTCATGAATTTACCCATAATAGGAAACTGGGCCAACTCATGGCCAAGGGTCCTCAATCTGGGACCCCCAGTTAAAAGCGGGGGCTATTTAGTCTAAAGGAAGTATATACCATGCCCATGGGGTCCACTGCTTGGCCTTTCTCTTGTAGATGGCTGGGCTTTTAAGAACAACGTGGTCATCAAGAATCACCGGAACCTCCAGGACCGCCTCCAGGCAGCCCACCTGCTGCTGGACAGGAGCCCCCGGTGCCCTGTGGTGGTGGACACAATGAAGAACCAGAGCAGCCAGCTCTACGCGGCACTGCCCGACAGGCTCTACGTGCTCCAGGAGGGCAGGATCCTCTACAAGGTGGTGACCACTCCCACCCCCACAGGACAGGGGCCCAGGGAGGGCAAAGGGCAAAAAGAGGCTTCACATCAGGCAGACCTGGATTCAGATAGCTGCCCAGCCATTTACCAGCCATGTAACCAAGGGCAAATCCTTTCTTTTCTTGGAGCTTCACTGTCTTCTTCTGCAAAATGGGGACGTTGGCTCCCATGTCTCAGGGGACAAAATTATGCACAGGGAAGTCCCTAGCATTTAGACTGGAACTGGAGCCTCCTGGCAGCCTTCTGAACCCAGAAGACTGGCCCAGCCCAGTTTAGTCTAAAGCTGAGAGATAAAGTGGGAGGGTCTGAAGCAGCTAATCTCGGAGGCAGGCCTGAACCTGGAGGGGCTGAAGGAAGTGGGAAGAACACAAACCCTGAAGTTCAGAGCTGGAAATGCTGAAGCAGAGATTCAAGACAGGGATTGAGTCCAGGCTTCCTTTCTGGAAGGACTGCGTTCCTCTCAAGGCTTCCAGCCTGGCCAGGGAGGGATATAAGCACAGTCTCTGACCCCTGGGCCCTGCTGGCCTCCTCTGAGAGGTCGGAAACCAAGTTTGGTAGCTGCTGAAGGCATTTGCAGCCTTGGAGAGCACAGGAAGCCCAGCCATGTGGCTACTCCTCTGCCCACAGAGTGAGCTGGCCTATGTATGCAATTGAAATAAGAAACGACTAGTGGATGAATCTCTAGGGTGCTGAGGGTCAGAGCCTGAGGTTAGGCCCTGTGCAAACACTGAGAACACACACACAAAAAAAATGAATTTAAAATGGCCCAAACCTTCCTTGTGCTCACAGTCTAGGGCAGTGGTCGGCAAACTCATTAGTCAACAGAGCCAAATATCAACAGTACAACGATTGAAATTCCTTTTGAGAGCCAAATTTTTTAAACTTAAACTATATAGGTAGGTACATTGTTACTAACTTAATTAGGGTACTCCTAAGGCTTAGGAAGAGCCACACTCAAGGGGCCAAAGAGCCGCATGTGGCTCTCGAGCCACAGTTTGCCGACCACGGGCCTAGGGGATAAGGAAGATCCAAATAGAGTGTCACAGTATCCCAAGGGCTGTGAGACTCCAGGGCAGGGGTCAGCAAACCTTTGCTGTAGGGCAGGAGACAGTCCCTGTCTCCACAGTTCAGTTCCACTGGTGTAACACAAAAATGGCACAGACAAAACGTAAACGAAGGGGTATGGAGGTATCAGGACAGATTTAGCTCTCAGACAGTTTTCCAACCCCTGGGGAAGGGCAAGTTTTTCCAAGGAGGTTACAATTGCTTGGCTAAGGGATAAGGAGCCAGCCATGTGAGCATGGTGAGTGAAAGTCATTGCAGATATTGAGAAGAGGGTGGGCAAAGGCACTGGGCGTGCTAGGGCAGGGTGTGAATGGAGAACTGAGGGCACTTAGGTTACAGGGGTCCCATTCTGGACCAAGGAGTTTGGCCTTCATTTTAGGGCAAAGGAGAGCCATTGAGAAGTTTTGAGCAGGGGAGAGACATGATCAGATCCTTACTTTAGAAAGATCACTGGCTATTGGGTGAAGAATGGAGTGCAGAGAGAGCAGGGCATAGTCGGGAGGTGAGACAGCTGCCCGAGTAGAAGAGGAAGAGGGCTGAATTAAGCGTTGGGATTAGAGAGGCAGAGGTGGTTCTGATGTAGATTGAATAGAACTTGATATGGGGAGTGGAGAAGATAAGGCCAGTCTGAAGGTATGATTATGGAAGAAAAGTGTGTTTGTATAGACCCATTTTTCCTTTTGAAACTATTCACTTTATCCCACTCTGGTTTTCCTCCTACTTCTGTCCTGTCCTAAATGGTGGGGCTGCTCCACACACTCTCCCTGCATGATCTCACACACCTCAGGGTTGCATCTGCCACTGACAACACCATCCTGATGACTCCCACATGGATGTCATCAGCCCAGATCTCCTGCAAGTCAGAAATCTGGGAATGCTGATCTATTTCTCCTGCAGGGTAAGCCTGGCCCTTGGAACTATCACCCAGAGGAAGTTCGTGCTGTTCTGGAAAAACTCCGCAGTTAACCTGGACGGATCCCCCAGTTCCAGTGACCAAGAGGAAGGCTCCTCAAGGCTTGGCTCTCCCCCCAACCCAGCTGGCTTTTACCTCTTGACCTGTGTCTCAGTGGAATTACTAGCTCAGATTTTTCTGATCTAAGCAAACAGTTGTTATAATCAGAAAATGAAGCAGCCAGTGAGCTGAGTGTTAAAGAATATACAACTCCACACTGTCTCCACTGTGGACACCACTTCACAGCATGACGTCTCTGAGTGTGAGCAGTCGTCCTCTGGGTGTACTTCTCAAACGTGGTCTCTCCAGTTGCCCTAGTTCCAAGTGATTAGATATGGCATCCCTTATGTTAGGTAAATGCATTTTACCAAATTTATCATTTATGGAACTGATTGATATTTAAAACACTAAACTGGTTTTTAGACCCAAGCATGGGAGAACTCCAGGTGTTTAGAGAGAGATGAGGAATTGAAAAAGGAGGGAGTAGGGATGAGAGGAGACAGTAAAGATGGTAATCCTTTCCCTGCCAAAAAACTGAAACCAGTCAGTGGTGGTGGTGGTGAGGGGTGAGCTTCCATGGTAATGCATCTCCAATTCTACTGTAGAAGAGGTGGGTACTTTACAATCTTTGAATATACTTCATAGAAATCTGGCTCTCTGTATTCTGGAATCTTCTACTATCTTTACTTATCAATGAAGTCACTTGGGAGGGGGAGGACCGGCTTCCCAAAAACATAACCTTGACCAAACTAGACAACAGGCACCAGCAAAGCTGTCGTTCAGTTATGCAGAAGCTCATACTTGAAGTTCTATTTCTCAGATTTTTTTTTGCAAGTCTCTTAATGGTCATTTGTGTTCAGTTATATCAGACGAATGGATAACCATTGGTACTCATCTGTTTTAACTCTGCTTCTCTTCATATTTGTTTATGACGGCCACAGCCTAAAGTACACACAGCTGTGACTTGATTTGAAAATAAAATATTTGAAGATGTAGCAAGCTAATACAGAATGATTAAAATACATGAGCCCATTTGGGATGGCTTCAGTGTGATCTATTTTCTTTTCCAATTTGTGTCAGCCTGTTCTATCTTTTATGATACCCCAATGAGCAGTAATCTGATCCACAAAAATACCATATGCTGGAAGGGCCTCATTTGATGGGAAGAACACTCAGTCTCTGTGTTACATGTCAAATGTGGTTTTGTCTTATGAACTCCCGATAGAGAATTTTTCCACATTGGAATCAAACAACCTTCACAACATGACATAAAAGAATGAACTTGGGAGACATTCTTCTAATATGAAAACACATTTTCCTTGGCCCTGCCTTAATTGCTACAAAGTTAATATTACTAATGTGTTATTTTGCCCTTTCTATAATAACTATTTTAAGTCACCTACTAGACACCAGGGCTTTCAGATATGTTATCTCATTTAATCTCTATATATCTTAAAGAGGAAACTTATTATCTCCATTTTACAAGTGAGGAAATCAAGGCTCAGCATTAAGTAACTTGTGGAGGGTCTCAAATTAGTAACAAGCTGAGATTCGAACCCCATCTCTAACTTCAGGGTCAGAGTCCTGGCTCTACTCCCTGCTAGCTGTGTGACTTGGTATCTTGAGCTATAATGGGATATCAATAGTGCCTATCCCATAGAGAGGATTCATGAGTTAAGCACTCAGAACTGTGCCTGGTTTGAATACAATTCCATGGAAGCATTGGCCATTATTATTATTATTATCATCATCATTGTTGTTCCACAACTGCCTCCTCAGGCTCCCTTTTAAGGGGTGAGGAGTAGAAAGAAGATAGAACAGTAGGGACACAATAACAATTCTTCAACTTGCCAAAGCAACTGTTCAATACTGGCAGGAGTTTGTGATGGCAAACTGAAAGGTGAGTAGCTGTGAAAATGGTGGAACCAAAGCACCTCTGAGCACTGTCCTTCCTAAGTCTTAAGTTCACTTCTCAGATGGTCTTCCAGTTCATGGCTATAAGTGCACAGAAACCTCCCAGTTTTCAACAAATAATAGTAGCTGGAACTGAGGAATTTACAGAATTATAAAATAGACTCCAAGTGTTCCAATTCAATTCTCTTCAATTCAATGCATCAGACATCAATTGAGCATCAATTCTTCTTTTCTGGGTGCTGAGTGATGCAAAGGTGGACAAGGTCCAGCTATTGTCTTCCAGAACCTTAACCTCATGGGATACCAGATGTACACTGTGATTACCATAATTCAAGGTGGAATATGATGGGTTAGAGCTGAGGTAAAGACTAAATGCTCAGGGAATACAGAGGAGAGAAATCCCTCTGAGCCGGCTGCACCTGGGAAAGCGCTATGGAGGTGGCGATCTTTGGGGTGCCCAATGCTTCCATAATTTGGGTTGGGAACCTGGAGAACATGGGAAGAGAGATGGGCATTTAAGTGGAGAACACTACATGGGCAAAGGTGGAAAGTGAACATGTGTAGAGGACTGCAAGAGGTTTGGGCTCAATTTTAATTCACAATGAAGAAGGGCTTTTCTCTTTGAAGGTGAACCCTCTGGGTCTGGATAACAAGAATGAACCCATTCTGCTTGGCTAATATTGTAAACTACTGATAAGTGAATGAAGCTTTTTATTATTTCCTGTCCAGCTCCAGGTACAATTTGCAGTCAGAACATCAACTCTGTCTGCTTTTGACAGATTTTCCCCCAGTTCACTTAGTCTCTGAAAGTGATTTCCTTTGGGGTACCTGGCCTGTGGGGGGGCAATGAGCCCATACCCCATTCTGGCAGATGCAAGACATTGCCTTGTGTGCCTGACAGGAGGTCTATGTCCCCATGTGGATGAAAGGGGCCACATGCTAACCTGACAAACTCAGGGAAGGCATGCATGGCCATCTTGCAAACTCAGAGACCTAAAGTAACCACAAAGGATTGTCTGAAATTAAACTCTAACTAAAAGCAGTTATGATGGGTAGTCACCTCCTAGGCCGGTATCTTCACTGACAAAGTCAACCTTTACCTTAACTGAGCTTATCTGTCTTTTTGCATCTATGATAACATACCCTTTGAAATGTCTGGGTAACTTGTAACTTCTCTTTTTCTGGACCCCATAGGGCACAACCTAAGGTACTGGGAGCCAGGACAGATACCACAAATTCCTTCATTATCATGTTAATTGTTCCTGCACCCACAAATTCCTTCATTATCATGTTAATTGTTCCTGCACCCACCTAAGTATCCAATCCCAGGCCCCCCCCCCTTTGCTTTCTCCCGCCTCTCTAGTCTATCACCAATGGATTTCATGTAACCCACCTACGTCCCTTTCCTTTGATTGCAATGTATAAATACAGATGTAACGGGCCATTCTCTGGAGCATTATCTCAATTCTCTGAGGTTCTGCTTCCTGGCGTATGTCAACGGTTTGGCTCAAATAAACTCACAAAAATTCTTTACAGGTTTCAGTGGTTTTTACGTTAACAGTATGACCAGCCATGGCAATGGGATGGCTTCTGTTCAGAGGCAGCGATGAGTCAACAGTGAGTGCGGCTCATGGACTCCAGTTCTGCCTTTCATCCCTATCTCCTACTTGTTTTTCAACACTTTATTACAACAAATCCCTTGCATTATTTCCCTCGCTGCTTTAAATATACTGTATATCTCCATTGATTTCAGTTTTCCTAACTGAACACTGACTGCTACAATTGCCACCATCATCCCTTTACTTCTTACATGCTTTCACCTCTGAGACATTTTATTATTCTCTTCCATTTCTTAGCCCTGCCAGCTCACTTTTCATCCTCTGTGTCAATTTTTTCTTTAAATCCTTATAGTTCTCCTTTGAGAGCCTCCGTAACTATGAGGAAATAAATGTCTGTTACTTAAGCCTATGCTATATCATACTTTCTAATATATGGATGTTATGGCAGCCTGAGCTATCTAAAACACTTCCCTTCACCATGCTGTACCTCCAGCGGTCTGCTCTGGTGTATCTTGCCTGGTTTCGCCTTCAGCTCCATCTCCTCTGCAGTTTTACTAACCTGAGAACTACGGGGACATTCTCTATTCTCCTGAAGCCACTGCAGATGGAGAGTGTGTCAATTTAATCAACAGATTGTTGGATAAGCCTTTCATAACTCACATGTTTAAGATAAAGTCTCTAGCTCTGAGAAAGCAAGTCAGGTCTCAGCTCCCACCTCCTTCACCAAATCCTGATGTCACAGTCCTTAGCGAGTATGCTTTCCAGTTAGAGGTTGTAACAATCTCCTTGGAAGCTAAAACTCTTTTCTCTTTCTTTTTATAATTTTTTGTTGTTGTCAACAATGACTTTTGAGAAAGAGGATGGTGTAAAATTCCATTCACTCCACCATCTTTAAGCAGAAATATATATAATTTCCCGTTACAAAGTTTAATATATGATGACCATACATATCATACTTTCTAATATATGGATGCATAGTCATTTCCAGTTGCCCATCTTATAAATAGCATTGCTATAAAACTTGGTCCACTTGTCATTTATCTGATTATTTCATTAGAATAGATTCCTAGAAATGAAATTTCTATATCAAAGGCTATATGCCTGTTTAAAACTTTGATGCACTCTCTTACATACTATTTTTTAGAAGGCATGAGGGTCAAGCTACCAAGAGCTCTTGGAACATCACCTAGAAGGTGAAGCCCCCAAAGGAAGCCCTGCACAGAGGGACATTCCTGAAATAGGATTCACAACTGCGACACTCTAAAAAAAAAGTCTGTAAATGAGTGACAGACGCCATAACTTTCATTTGTATCTTTCTCTGCCTTTCTTGAGTACGTGGTTAAAAAGTTATTAGACCTTTACTTTAAAAAACATTTTTAAATCTTATTTTGTTTTTAATATATTTTTATTGATTTCAGAGAGGAAGGGAGAGGGAGAGAGAGAGAGAGAAACATCAATGAGAGAGAATAATCGATTGGCTGCCTTCTACATGCCCCCACTGGGGATCAAGCCCGAAACCTGGGCATGTGCACTAACCGGGAATCGAACTATGACCTCTTGGTTCATAGGTCAACACTCAACCATTGAGGCAGGCAATTTGTTTTTTATTTTAGAAAAGAGGCTGGCCCTAGCTGGTTTGGCTCAGTGAATGGAGCGTCAGCCTGTGGACTGAAAGGTCACGGCTTCGATTCTGGTCAAGGGCACATGCCCGGGTTGCGGGTTTAATCCCCAGTAGGGGGTGTGCAGGAGGCAGCTAATCAATGATTCTCTCCCATCATTGATGTTTCTCTCTCTCACCCTCTCCCTTCCTCTCTGAAATCAATAAAAATATATTTAAAAAAAGAAAAACACATGGGATGCAGTTATTGGAGCTCTTACCTCTCCCTTTGTATGTAGAGCAGATCCCCCTTCCTTATTTAATTAACATTTTTCATGACCCTGACTTGAAGACCCAGGGAAGAGCTGATGTTGCAGTACACACATCTAAAGGCCATCTGGTGGCCAAATTTCTTCTTCTTCTTCTTTTTCTAACATAATTTTACAGAGAGAGGAAGAGAGAGGAATAGAGAGATATAAACATCTATCTTCTCAGGCTGCCTCCTGCATGCTCCACCATCCCCCACTGGGGATCGAGCCTGCTAGCTGGCATATGTCCTAACCAGGAATTGAACCAGTGACTTCTTGATTCATAGGCTGAAGCTTAACCACTGAGCCACTCCAGGCTAGAATTCCTTCTTGCCCAGTTCAACACTTTATTACAACAAATCCCTTGCATTATTTCCCTCGCTGCTTTAAATATACTGTATATCTCCATTGATTTCAGTTTTCCTAACTGAACACTGACTGCTACAATTGCCACCATCATCCCTTTACTTCTTACGTGCTTTCACCTCTGAGACATTTTATTATTCTCTTCCATTTCTTAGCCCTGCCAGCTCACTTTGTATGTTAAGTTCTATTAAGGTCTTCAACTGGTTGACTGGTTGAGGCCCACATTGTAGAGAGCAATCTGCTTTACTCAAAGTCCTCCCATTTAAGTGTTAATCTCATCCAGAAACACCCACACAGAAACATCCAGAATAATGTCTGAGCTAATATCTGACCACTGTGGTCCAGTTAATATGACACATAAAATTAACTATCACAAATATATTTCAGTAAAACTGTGTGGTGGGTCCAATTGTTTCTCCAAAAAGACATGTTCAAGTCCTATCTCCCTAGTACCTGTGAATGTGACCTTACTGGAGAAAGGGTCATTGCAGACGTAATTATTTAAGATGAAGTCACTCTGGAGTAGGGTGGGCCCGTAATTCAATATGCTTGATATCCTTATAAAAAGATAAACACACACACAGAAACAGATATGCACAGAGGAAAGATGACGTGAAGACAGAAAGAATGCCATATGATGACAGAGACAGAGATGGGAACTATGGTGCCATAAGCCAAGGAATGCCAAAGATTGCAAGCAATACCAGAAGCTAAGAGAAAGGTAAGAACAAACCCTGCCAATACCTTGATTTCCAACTTTGAGCCTTCAGAACTGTGAGAGAATAAATTTCTATTGTTTAAGCCATCAGGTTTGCAGAACTTTATTACAGCAACCTTAAGAAACTAATACAGACTACACAGACAAAATATGTTCTCATATCATTTCTTTCCTGTGTGTTTATCAAGTTGTAATAAAGTTAGGTTCATTTCTATTTGTTGTCAATGTTTTATAATTGCTTTTTTATTTTAATTTTTGGCTATATTAGTTATTTATGTTTACAAAGTCAACCTATATAATAAAGTATAGCTTCCCCCCAATCTGTTCCATCCTGTTCCTTTACCACCCAAAATACTTAAAAAAAATAATATCAATAATGGGTGTCTCTGGAAAGTAAGATTATGTATTTCCTAACTCTTCTCTGAGGATTTCAAATCAGGAGCAAATAAAATGAAAAGAAAAAGAATAAAGTGATTTGTCCTGCAGGGCCCAGTTCAAGTTCCGTGACCTCAGTGAAACCTGCCCATAAGTACTTTCTCTTTTTCTGAACATATACATTGTTTACTGACTATACTGCTCACTTAACTTTTTGCATCAATCAATCAATCAATAAATTTAAAAATTAATGCACTGAGATAGGAAGGACACCTTATTAGATGCTGTGGGGAATATAACGTATTACCAATTAAGTTTTCATGTACAGCCACTTCCTTCATTAAGCTATATATTAAAGGAAAAGCTTTCTTATATCCTCCATGGTGGCCATTACTGCTGACCGATCATACCAAGTTCCTTTGTACAAAATATTAAAGAGAAAATAAAAACTGAAACAGGTTGATGCAAATCCCTTAAATAAAGTACATCAGTGGCAACTTTATTTTAAAATAAATACATTGTTAAGAAACATACAAAAGCATTTTGTTATAATTATTATGAAAGATTTGAGACTGCTATTCCCTCTGCAGAAATGCTATACACAGATGCAAAATGATCAAAGGCTGATGTAATAATGAATCTCAAGTAAGTGGCATGGCCATCATTTGCCTGTAGGGGAAAAATCAATAAGAATGCTCTTAGCAGTTCTAATTAACTGTTAAGCAGTTAGCAGAAAAAACGGTTTGATGCAAGAGTATAGTCTAAATATATAACAATTTACAAGATAATATTCAGAAGAGAAGCCAGCCACATATAACAGTACAGTCGTTCTAGTGTGTATTAGCTAAATAACAGCCTTGGTTTGATGTAAAATGGCTGATGGAGCTAAAAATTACAACTGTATATTTCTTTTCTTTTTAAAAAAATATTTTTATTGATTTCAGAGAGGGAGGGAGAGGGAGAGAGAGAAACATCGATGAGAGAGAATCATTCATCGGCTGCTTCCTACATGCCCCACACGGGAGATCAAACTCGCAACCCGGGCATGTGCCCTGACGGGGAATCGAACTGTGACCTCCTGGTTCATAGGTTGATGCTCAACCACTGAGCTACACTGGCCAGGCTACAACTGTACATTTCTGATCAATTGTTTCAAAGTGTTTTTCTAAAGTATTTTTCATAACAAAACATTTCTTTTGGTTAAAGATGCCTCAGAATATGATACCCTGAAACATTACTATACTTTTACATTTATGTAATTTTTCAGGAAAGCAATTTGGCAATATATTAAAAAGCTATAAATATGTCTTTATCTTTCAATCTAGTAATTTCATTCTCTGAAATCTAATCTTGTGAAATAATTAAAAAGGTGAAGATTGTGGTAGTGGGAACATGCATAAGATGTTCCTTGTAGTAGTACTTATAATGACAGAGGGAGGAAAAAGGAAATTAGTTAGCATTTGCCTATTTGCATATGTTTAATCTTAAAATTATGAAGCTTGTATATAGTAAGTTTTAAAAATGATACAAAATTGTTCATACATTACTATTATAACTATATGTAAAGCACATGGTTGATAACTAGAAGAAAATAGATATAGAAAAAGCTGTTATGACAGGGTGATAAAATGATGAGTGATATTCAGCCTCCCAACCCCCTTATTATTTTCCAAATGTTCTATAATGATGTGAGCTTCTCTGATCCTTAGAGGGTCCTGAAACAAAATATTCAGCAGAGACTTACTAATCATAACCTGTTGGTAAAGATGGATAAAAATAGGAAGATAAAATTCAGTCTAATTGTTTTTCAACTCCCCCTGCCCCCCAACTCACCTTCCCAATCATTGGGCATATTTGGGTGGTAAAGAAAAGAATTAATAGGATTCAAAAACATCCTGTAGACTCTTTTGAAGTACAGATTTCATAGCAGCTCCCAACAAGTTGTGAAAAAGGAAATTTAATGGACAAGGTACCACTTTAACTATCATTTCAAGAAACCTTAATTAAACAAACACTGCCACCTTTAAAAACACACACACACACACATTGCCTTTGGCCAGATGGCTCAGTTGTTTGGAGCGTCATACATACACCAAAGGTTGTGGGTTTGATTTTAGGTCAGGGGGTTCGATCTTTGGTTGGGGTGCATATGGGAAGCAACCAATCGATGTTTCTCTTTCTCTTCCTTTATCTCTAAAAATCAATTAAAAAAAACACACATATCCTTGGGAGAAGATAAAACACACAAACACATATTCACTTTTTCCACGTTTTTGTGTTTGTCTACCCAGAGCCTGACAAACTGGCAGGAACAGAGAAACTCCTGATGCAGCAGTACTTCCTCATCAATGGGCATTCGTTCCACTTGACAAGCAAAGCTCAATGGAATGCTGTCGACAAATGCTTGTTTCCACCCCATCTCTCTTTGGTTTATTTGTTGCTGATCCTATGCTCCAGTTCCCCTTATCTGAATCTCCCTTGTCCTTTCATGCTTAAATTAACATCCAGCTTTGGCATCTCAACCTTTTATGATTCCTACTCTAAAAGGCCTACAGAATCAAATGAAAGAAAGCAAAGCAAGTAAATACTTCCAATTTAAAAAATGAACACAGTTAAAACAAAAACAAGTGAATTCTGGCCCTAGCTGGTTTGGCTCAGTGGATACAGTGTCAGCCTGCGGACTGAAGGGTCCTAGGTTCAATACCTGTCAAGGGCACATGTTTGGGTTGCGGGCTTGATCTCCAGTGGGGGATGTGCAGGAGGCAGCCAATCAATGATTTTCTCTCATCATTGATGTTTATATTTCTCTTTCCTTCTCCCTTCCTCTCTGAAATCAATAAAGATACATTTTTTTAAAAAAGTGAATAATTCATGCCCTAGCTGGTTTGGCTCAGTGGATAGAGCGTCAGCCTGCAGACAGAAGGGTCCCAGGTTCGATTCCAGTCAAGGGTACATGCCTGAGTTGTGGGCTCGATCCCCAGTAGGGGGCGTGCAGGAGGCAGCCAATCAAAGATTCTCTCTCATCATTGATGTTTCTATCTCTCTCTCCCTCTCTCTTCCTCTCTGAAACCAATAACAAATATATTTTTAAAAAAAGTGAGTAATTCTATTTTATTCTTGCTGTAATCCTGTCTGATAGATAAAAGCCTAATTTATAAATGCTACCTTTAGACTATAATATTATTGAGAATAACCTCTGTTTATTGATTAAGTACAGAACCTATACTATCATGAGAGTATTTATTAACTTTATTACTATAGAAATAGGTTTAAAATTTAAACATATTGTGCTGGCTAAAGATGATATTTACCTCTACAGAGTATATTTACTTACCATAATTTCTTCATTTTGAAGCTGCCCCTCTGTGTGTACTAGATCTAAAACATAAATTTAACAGAAATGAGTTAGGGCTTAAAAGACATGAGGATAGCTACTGAAATTTATGTTCAGCAAAACATTATATGTGGTAAACTATAGTTAAACCAGATTTACCAGTGTTTTGGGGTTAAAATTTAATATACAGATAGAGATATTTGATATAAAAGATATGAAAAATAAACAGCTTATGAGCTATAAAGTATCTCTAGTGAATAAAAATATAAGGCAATCCAAATGTAAATCATAGTAAAAAAATATAAAGTAAGGAATTGATAAACTGTGAAAATCCCTTTTAAGGATCAAGCTACTAACAGCAATTGCAGGCCTGAAAGGAGGCATTTTATTGTTCCCATGGGCAACAACTAAAGCTCAGTTTCTCACAATAAATTTTTACTATAATGCAGAATTATGCTACCCTTGAATCGATCTTTTCTGGTATCCAACTTTAGAAAACCTTTACTCATATAATTTTAGGACAGATTAATTTATTTTGTCATAAGATAATCATATCAAACATTATTTTGGAACCATGAAATATTTAATTGATATAATAAAAATATTAAGATTATTTAGAAATTAATTTTATTTGTATTAAAATAGTGTACATAATTTTAAAAGGCACATAGTATACAAAGGGAAGTCTCTGGGAAGTAAGATTATGTATTGCTTTCTATTTCTTAACCTTTCTCTGGGGCAATGAAAAATAGTAATCCCCTGCTTGTCCTCTCCTTAATCCTACAGTCCTGCTCCCTCCAGGTAAATGTTTTCAACTCTTAAAGCTATTTTTCCTGAAATTATATTGTTTATACTTCTTTTCTTGACTTAACAATTTTTTACTGAATTTATATTATGATGGATGAAAATTTAATCTAATATCCTCTTCCTCCTCCTCTGGCAACTTTCCCCTCCTGTCATCCTCTCAATTTTGAAATCAGTATTTGATGGCAAAATTAGTCTCTATACATGTTATTTGCTGCTGAAATAAATAACAAATTATGATCACATTTTCTTATTTAACTCCTCCCTGACCAGAAGTTAATAATAACCTCTTATTTCATTTGCTTAGTTTTTTAAATTATGAAACATTGGACATTTTCAAACAAACATAAAAGAAGACAGAACATAACTCCTATATGTAACTCATCATTTAGATTTTACATTTACTAATATTTTTCCATACTTGATTTTTTTTGCTAAAATTTTAAAGCAAGTCTAATACATCATGATATTCCACTTCCAAAGATTCGATTATACATCTCTAAATAATGATATTTTCTTATATAACCACAATACCATTATTATACTAACATTTAAAATAATGCTTTAATATCATATGGTACTCAGTCTATATGCAAATCTCCCCACTGATGCAAAAATGTCTTTTTATAGTTGATTTATTGAAATCAGAATTCTCTCTTTTAAACTTGAACTGCTTTCCCTCCCACATACACATTTTTCCTCCATGCCATTGACTTATCGAAGAGACCAGGTCAATTGTCCTGTAGAATGCCCCACATTTTATCATCTTGCCTCCTCATGGTTTCATTTAATTTGCTCCTCTATCCTGCATATTTCCTATAGCTTGGAAATTAAAGCTAAAGGCTTGATTACATTCAGGGTTTGAGGTCTTCATCACATGTCTGGTGATCTTTGGCTGTCTTTTGTTATTTATGAATACATCATTTGAAAACTATGTGCATGAGCCAGGCTTGTTGACTAGTGGAGCTCAATAGGGTGACCAGGAATGAGCTAGTCTTTGTCAACATCCATAGATCTTTTTTCTGGGGCCATTCAGTTTCTCCAAAGATGAATTCTCCCATCTCCTGGCTGGGGCTATATTCTTGGTTGCTGTCATAAATAGCAGAGCATAGGAGGAGTTCCCACTATTCAATATGCAGGCTTCCACCTAAATTCCTGTTTTCAACTCCATGTCTCATGAAATGTCTCTACTATGCCTGGTTTCCCTGGGTTCTGAGCCTCAACATTCAATGTTCCTTGGGGAGGATACAATCATTCCTTGCAGGTGGTTTATGGGAGGAAGGAGTGGTCACCTGGCTTTTGGGGTAGGAGAAGGTACCTACAGTCCAACTACTTTGTATATAGATGTTCAACTAATGACCCCTCTTTTCTGGCTCATGCCTCACTCACATTTTCTATGTTACCATTTCCCTTCAAGTTCTAGAAGTTTTTTGGGTTCTGTAAGGCAAATTGGCTTGCTTCTCATTAATTTTCTCTTTGGCAAGCATTTAGGTTATAACTTATTCCATTCAACTATAGAAGTTCTCCATCGGCATCCTCTCTTCCATAACATATCCTATCTAATAAAAGACAAACAGGGTAATTGACCGTACCTGCGCTACGCTTCCCATTGGCTAATCAGGGTAATATGCAAATTAAACGCCAAGAAAGATGGCGGTTAATTTGCATAGGGAGGCGCAATGATGGGAGGCGAAAGGGGAAGGACGGAAGAACGGTGATCGGAAACCCAGGCGGCAGGCAAGAGCTGGAGAACCGGGGCGCCTTTGCCCACCCCCCAGCCAGTGATCGTGATCAGAAAGCCGGGCCACAGGCAAGGCAGCACCCCCGGGACCCAGGAGCCGCCTTGCCTGTGGCCCGTGATGCTGATCGCGAAGGCTTGGAGGCGGCTCCGGCCGGAACAGACACAGACAGGGACAGGGGGCTGGCCTGTAGCCTCTGTAGCTGAGCGCAGGCCTGGAGAGGAGATGGCGGGCCTGCCTCCCGCAGAAGCAGCGCGGGTCCCTTCCACCTCCCATGGAATCTGCATGAGTCCCTCCATGCTCCAGCAGAAGTGGCGTGACTCCCTCCCACCTCCCACGGAATCAGTGCGGCTCCCTCCTGCCTCTGGTGGAAGCAGCACAGCTCTGGGCGGTGCACCGAGGTTCCTGCCAGCTCCCGAGGAAGCAGTGGGCAGCCTACTGTGCAATATTGTGCAATGGGCTACTAGTATGTATGTGTGTGTGTGTGTGTGTGTATATATATATGTATAATATATTTTTATTGATTTCAGAGAGGAAGGGAGAGGGAGAGATAGAAACATCAATGATGAGAGAGAATCATTGATTGGCTGCCTCCTGCACGCCCCCTATTGGGAATCAGGCCTGCAACCCCGGCATGTGCCCTTGACCAGAATCAAACCCAGGATCCTTCAGGCTGCAGGCCGATGCTCTATCCACTGAGCCAAACCAGCTAAGGCTCTTTCATAATATATATTGATCTCTCACATCTGCTTTGGTCTCCTAGTTTTTTGTTTGTTTATTTTTTGTCATTCTGGGTTTATGTCTCCTTTTATTCCTTTACTATTATTTGCTTGTTATTTTGTGAAGGAATGGAGATAGACACATGAAGGCAATATGCATTTAACTAGAGGCTACCAATTCTGCTGGAAAGACAAAACTAATATTTATTGTTTGTCTAGCATATACCAGATATTTTTTTCATAAAAACCATAAGTGGGCCCTAACCGGTTTGGCTCAGTGGATAGAGCATCAGCCTGCGGACTCAAGGGTCCCAGGTTCGATTCCGGTCAAGGGCATGTACCTTGGTTGCAGGCACATCCCCAGTAGGGAGTGTGCAGGAGGCAGCTGATTGATATTCCTCTCTCATCGATGTTTCTAACTCTCTATCCCTCTCCCTTCCTCTCTGTAAAAAATCAATAAAATATATTTAAACAAAAAAACAAACAAAAAAAACCATAAGTGGTAAAAACCATAGGTATCATCTCCATTTTTCAGATAAGGATTCACAAACTCAGAAAAATTAAGTAACATGTTAACAGTTACATACCCAGTAAGTAAAGAAGCAGTCTTGTATTGAAACCTGGGTCTTTCTAGGCTCTAAATATGTCACAAGAATCATTCAGGTGATCATTTTTCATCTAACTGTAGATGAAGTACAGAGTCAAAGGACAATTCTCCCCTCCATCATGCCCAGAACAATGCTGGTGAAACAAGCACATACCTCTTTCAATCCACTGCTCAAAACTGTCTGGCTCCTTAGATGTGCTCTTTTCAATTTGCAAGGTCCGTACTAACATTGTAAATAAAACATATGAAGGATTAATTATGGAACTGATTCTTTGTCATTGTTCCTATATTCCTTTTATCCTCTGAGGCTATCAGGCTTTGGTGGGAATGCACAAAGAACTGGGATTAGGAAGACCATCTTCTGAAAATCATTTACTCTTTTTCTATATGTCCTTATGGGGAAATGCAATCTTGTGTCAGTATAATCTTACAAATATTTGCAAACATATAACACAGCTTTGGAGCCTTTTTGAATTTGGTATCATCCAGATTTTTTTGTATATTGGTATTAATAGTAGTAATAGCATTAGTAGTCTTGGGCATACGTCTTTACCCTTAAGGAGAACCTACTATGAGTCAGGTATATTTACCTCATTTACTCTTTACTATAATCTTATGAAAAAAGTAATATTAACCTACTTTACTGATAAGGAAACAAGCTTAGAGAAACTGGGCAACTTAGAGAAGTCAGGCAAAGTGTTCAATGATAAAGAATTAGTAAGTGCCAGAACTAAAATTCAAACGTTTGGTCTGTCTGACTCCAGAGCCTCTACAATTAATGACAGGAGAAAGACTTAACAGGAATGCAGTCATCTTCCTTCTGCACTGTTTTTTCTCCATCACCCCTAACCCAGTTCCAGCTACCCCAGATCCATTCTTCCCCTTCTGTGTTCTGTGCCCTGGGGGGATAATCTCCGGGACTCACTTGGGACTCACTTGCTCACTGGTTACGGGTCATCTGTGGCCAATGGGTGGCACTGAGAGGAAATTGGAGGGCAGTGGGGAAGTGAGATCAGGCTGTTTCTTTCTCCACTCCCTTCCTGCTTCAGTGCCGTGTCTTGACAGTGGTTGTGTTCCTTCATGATTACAACTCCTGCCAGGCAGGTCCTTATTTACAAGCTCCAACCTTTACTGGGCTCCAAAACCAAAACACTATTTCCTTCCCTGAGCTCAGGGGTGGCAATGGCATCCTGCTGTAGCCAGTTTCTGGGTGTCTCACATCCCTGGTTTAGTCTCTGGAGCCAGAACATAATTTTGTAAGTAGACCCATCAATAAAGTCTCTTCATTTGAACCATCTGGAGTGTATTCTGTTTCCTGCCATGATTCTGTCTGATATACTTTATCCTTACATAAACATGAAGACAGGATTAGGATGATATTCTAATGGGAGATTCTCCTTCTAAATCCATCAGAAAATGTCATTTTTAATGTAAGAATCAAAATTATCCAATGCAAATAATCAGGTTTATCAGATTTCCAGAAAGAATTTAACAGAGAACCCCAAGCCAAACAATCTGTAATAAATATGTCAAGAAATCTAGTGTTCTGGCAAGCTGGCTTCTTATGTTCATAATAGGCTCTTTTGCCAAAGACTTTCACATAGTAAATTGCATGGAAATTATTATTTGCTTTGGAAGGGTTTCAAATTTGCAGTTTCATAGAGTCTAACTGTAATCAAGGCAGTTAACCCATACACCCAACTCTCCTACCCAGCAATAAAGCTGGATTCCATACTGCATAGAAAAATTTTGCCAAAAATTTATGTGTCCTCTGCCTATGGAAAAATTAAAAGATGATGAAAATTAATGTATGAATTGCTTACCAAAGCAACTTTGGATTACAAGCCTTTCAATTCTTACACGTTTGTGAAAACAAATAATGAACTCTTGGGGAAACATTCCTGTGGTGGTCCAAAATGTTTCTGGGTTCCTATTGTTAATTAAAAAAAGAGAGAGAGAGAGAAAAATAGCCAAATAAACATTCACAACATTCTAGTGAATAAGTATTCAAAAAAAAAAAAAAAGACCTATGGATTCTTGCAATCCCTTTCTAACTACTCATTCTGCCTCTAATTTCTCCCTACTTTTAATAATTCTTTACTACTACCAGATATATTATTTAAAAACATAGAATTTATGTCACTCTTGTCTAAAGCCTCCAGTGGCCTCTTGTTGCCTATAAATCTAAATGCCTTACTATGTTATCTTATGACTCTAAATAATAATCTGGTCTTCCATCATTAAAGTATCATATCCTCGTCCTTTATGCTATCATCTCCCATTACTATAGTCACACTGGGCCAGTTAAAATCCAGCAAACACATCATGCAGGCTCATGATCCTGTACCTTAATACATATGTAATAAATTCCACAGTACAGTGTTTTGTTTTTCCCCATTAAGTGGTCAGTTGTCTTTCAAAAAACTTAAAATAAAAAGGTTGCTTTTTCATATTATCCAAATATTTACCATTTCCAATGAACTTAATTTCTTCCTGTAGGTATGAATTTCTTTTTTTGAAATTTTATTTATTGATTGGGGGGCGGGGGGAGAGAATAGAGACAGAGAGAGAGAGAGAGATTTATTTTTCCACTTATTTATGCATTCATTGGTTCCTTCTTGTATGTGCCCTGAGGAGAGATTGAAACTGCAACCTTGGCACTCTAACCAACTGAGCTACTTGGCCAGGGCTGGTTTGAATTTCCATCTAGTATTATATCACTTCAACCTATAGAACTTCCTTTAGCATTTCCTGTAATGCAGGTCTACTTGTGTTGAATAAAATGTCTTTATTCTATCTTCATTTTTGAAGGATATTTTAGTTAGATATAGAATTCTGGATAGACAGGCTTTGCGGGGGGTGTTTCTCTTTTTTTCAGTCTTAAAAAATACTGTTCCATTGTCACCTGGATTTCACTGTTTGTAATGCAAAGTCAGCTGTCACTGTTACTATTGTTTCCCTATATTTAATGTATTATTTCCTCCAGCTATTTAACATTTTTTTATTTTATTTTTTTTAAAGTATATTTTATTGATTTTTTACAGAGAGGAAGGGAAAGGGATAGAGTTAGAAACATCAATGGGAGAGAAACATCGATCAGCTGCCTCCTGCACACCTCCTACTGGGGATGTGCCTGCAACCAAGGTACATGCCCTTGACTGGAATCGAACCTGGGACCTTTCAGTCTGCAGGCTGACGCTCTATCCCTGAGCCAAACCAGCTAGGGCAACATTTTTTTATTTTTTAGCAGATTATTATATGGTCCCTAATTTTTTAAATTGATTTTTAGAGAGAGAGGAAAGGAGAGGGATAGAGAGATAGAAACATTGATGAGAAACATCCTGCATGCCCCCAACTGGGGATTGAGCCCACAACCTGGGCATGTACCCTGACCAGGAAGTGAACAAGTGACCCCTTGGTTCATGGGTTGAAGCTCAACCACTGAGCCAAAGTGGCTGGGCTGGTCCCTCTGTTTTTACCCTGCTTGGGGTTTTCTGAGTTTCCTGGATCTATAAGTTGGTATTTTTAAATAAGATTGGGGAAATGTGGCCAAAAAGTATAAACAACCCAAATATCCATCAGCTGATAAATGAATACATAAAATGTGCTATATACATACAATAGAATATTACTTGGAAATAAAAATGAAACACTGATATGAACTGCAACATGGATAAACCTTGAAAACAGCAACTGAAAAAAGCAAAAGACTGCATATGTGTAATTCCATTTATATGAAATATCTGAATAGGTAAATCTACAGAAACAGAAAGTAGGACTGGTGAGGATAAGGGAAATATGGGGTGACTATAATGGATTGCAAGGTTTCTTTTTGGGGTGATAAAATGTTCTAAAATTGTGCAGATGGTTGCATAACTCCGGGAATATACTGGAAGCCACTGAATTGTACACTTTAAATGGGTGAATTGCATGGCATGTGAATAATATGTCAATAAAGCTGTTATAAAAAGAAGAAGCAGAAGCAGCAGCAGCAGCAGCAGGTGCAGCAACTGGGTTTCCTAACTCACGATTCTGGGTTTTTAATATTATGCTTAATATTTCAAATTTTTAAAATTTATATTTATATGGTTTTAAATATTATTTATTTAAATAAATTAAATGACTTTTAATTGCCCTGTGTTTTTTTCTTGGGTGCTTTTAATGAACACAACCAATATAACATCAAATAGTATGTGCAGACATGGATTTTAAAATGACATACAACTGAATCCTCATATTTATTGAAGTCATCAAAATTGTTTTAAATAAGGCTTTATAGATAATGACTGTTTAGTATCTATTTTCTCACATGATTTTTTTTCACAACTCTGAGGTAGTTAGGAAAGGTGGTATTATCCACATTTTTCAGACCAGGAAATTGAGGCTCAAAGAGTAACACATATAGTTCACTTACCCAGGAATTTTAACTGTCACTCTAGTATTCTTTTATAGTATTCAAAAAAAACACTAATTCTCTTTATCTTCTTTTTCTCTTTTTTTACTATCTTTGTTTAAAATTTAAATTCTTTATTGTTGAAAGTATTACATGTCTCCTTTTCCCCCCATTGATTTCTCCCCAGCTGCTCCCGCTCCCTAGCACATGTCCCTGCCCCACTAGTCTTCTTTTTCTCTTAATTCACTTTTTCTAGTGCAGAATTTTTTTCTCCTTTTTCATTAATATATTAAATGCCATAGAAAAGAAGTAGAGTTAAGAGTAAGTAGAAATATAATCACTTTCTTTAATTCCTATTTCTGGGAAATGGAGAGTTGGGAGCACTGTTCAGTTGAGGCAAATTTATAGCACTGTTTTCTCCAAATAATTCTATGGTTACTTTCATTTAGATAAACCAATTTATGAGCAGAGATTTTTAAATATTATAGTGTGTTAAGAACTTTATTTTTATTAATTAATTTATTTTTTATAATATATTTTATTGATTTTTTACAGAGAGGAAGGGAGAGGGATAGAGAGTTAGAAACATCGATGAGAGAGAAACATCGATCAGCTGCCTCCTGTACTCTCCCTACTGGGTATGTGCCTGCAACCAAGGTACATGCCCTTGACCGGAATCGGACTCGAACCTGGGACCCTTGAGTCCGCAGGCCGATGCTCTATCCACTGAGCCAAACCAGTCAGGGCAAGAATAATTTTTAATATCTGTTAATAAAGTCTAATTGTATTTGTTGGACATGAATACAGATTAAAAGTCTCCAATGTACTCTGTTCAGTTACCAGGTCAGTAACTACTTTTATGTAGTTTTTTTGTACTAAAGGTTTTGTCTAATAAAAAGAATATGATATCTGTAGTCATTCATTAATATGGACTGATATGATGGAAAGATCTCTATTTCTGGCAAACAACTTAAGGCAGATCTGTATACATCTATGTATTCTCACAGCAGTTCCCACATTAATTTCTCTACTCCAAGGCAGAGTGGGATAAATTATTATGACCCGAATTTTAGGAAGTAAAAAACTAAGAAGGATTAAGATGCACAGGCAAAAAGCAGATATCAAATTTTGGATGCACACCTTAAGTCTGAGTTATAGTATAGTACAAAGAACCCCAAACTAGGAGTTAGAAGACATGAGAGTTAATCTTGATTCTTGGTTATCTGTGTGATGTTGAGCAAGTCATTTTATCTCTGATCATTCTTTTCATCATCTTTACAAGGAGGTTGAAAATAATTTTTTTTTGCTTCTTATTTCCCAAATTTACAGTGTGTGTCAAATAACATAGAGTCTATGAAACAATAAAGTCCCATGCAAATTAAAAGTAACATATGCACATATGTGTATGTATGTACATGTATATATGTATGCTTAAATACTCAGCTACTCTCCGATATTAGTTAAGTTTGGCTAATAATTGATGGTCTAATTCAGTAAGTTACTCAACAAATATTGTAAGACACTATGGAGTTAAAGATGAACAAGTCATAGTCTCTGACTTTTAAGAATTCACAATTAAGAAACAAAATTAAATAAATAATTATAAAGGAATAAATAAGGTAATAGGGTAACTACCAAATTCTACTGGAGTCCAACAAAAAAGGTAAATTCATCCTCCTTGAGGGAAAGGGAGAAATGTCAGAAAGAAGGTAACAACTAGGCTTAAAAAAAGAGGATGAGTTGCTTATATTTACTCAGATACATGGGCTTCACAACAGAACCCAAAGAACCACAAGATCTGTATTACAATTGGCTCTGCCTTCAATAGTTCAAAACAGTACTTGACCACTTTAGGCCTGTCTTACCATGAGTCTAAAATGAAAGTTTAGATAAGATGAACTCATAAGTCCTAGCTCTAAAATTACATTATTCTATTAGTGAAACTCTGGTCATTGTACAAATACCAAGAAAGAGAACTCAAGAGGGTGATAAAAATAGCCAGAGTTCTTCCATTATCTACTTTTTCTTGGAATTTAAAAGTCTGAGAATGATATTCATCTTTACCTAGAATAAGCTCTAGCATGGTGAAGAGTGAAAATTGGAATAATATTAAGAGGCCAAGAGCCAAACAATGCAGGTAGATAGCAGATAGTGAGTGAAGCATTCAGTTTAGCAAAGATGTTGCTTTGACTAATATGGAAATAGGCAGTGCATAGAAAGTTACAATGTTTATATTCCTATTTACTAAGAAAAACTTGAAATAAAACCATAACCAAGTATTAAAATGTACACTTCCATAAAATGAGGTGGTTGTTGTTGTTTGAGGTTTTGCCTTATTAAACTACTTTTTAAAAATATATATATTTTTATTGATTTTTACAGAGAGGAAAGCACCTCCCCCATGGGAGATGTGCAGGAGGCAGCTGATCGATGTTTCTCTCATCGATGTTTCTAAGTTTATATTCCTATTTACTAAGAAAAACTTGAAATAAAACCATAACCAAGTATTAAAATGTACACTTCCATAAAATGAGGTGGTTGTTGTTGTTTGAGGTTTTGCCTTATTAAACTACTTTTTAAAAATATATATATTTTATTGATTTTTACAGAGAGGAAAGGAGAGGGATAGAGAGTTAGAAACATCAATGAGAGAAACATCGATCAGCTGCCTCCTGCACACTCCCTACTGGGTATGTGCCCGCAACCAAGGCACATGCCCCCAACCGGAATCGAACCTGGGACCCTTGAGTCCGCAGGCCGACGCTCCATCCACTGAACCAAACCGGCCAGGGCTAAACTACTTCTTAAAAAACTATTTGTAAAGGTCAGTTTAGGAATTTTCAAGAAAAGGATCAAAACCTAAACATATACAACTGAATTAATTTCAAAAATGAGACCAAAGGTGGAAATTGTCAGATTATCTACTGCCCCAAACATTTATTAAACTATGTTTAACAGTGTTAGTTATTATAAAACACATAGTCCCAGTACTCAAGGGGTTCACTGACCTAATATCAAGACTTTAAGGAAGAACGAATAGTAACTCTTACCCATCAATTATATTTTCAGGGGGGTGTTTTTCATCACTCGATGTAGCTAAAATCACTTCCGTCCCTTCAGAGCTCAAACAGAGATCAACTTTTCTCATCTTAAACTGTTTAACCTGCAAATAAAACAATAACACAGGAATAACAAAAGCTACTTCTTGATTCTCTGCACTTTATCTGAGAAAAGGAAGAGAGAAAGCCTGTTGCCTAGCACACAGCTTAACAAACAAGCAATTCAACAAGTGGGAAGGACGCTAACATGTTTATTTACATAAGTAAACTTCAGACCTCTCCCAGGAATAATCTGTAAAATATGAGTATTTCCACTACACTACCCCAGAAAACAAGTCCCTGACTACACTGACATAATTTTTCTGCTTCTAAAATTAAAAGCCCTCAATAATTATAGAGAAATAGTTAAAAAGCTAAGGTGACATAAGTGAATTGGTTAATTTCTTTAAGATTACTTAAATTATTAGAATTCTGAAATTATTTTTAAAAACCTGGAGCATAAAAACAGATTCTTTGCCGAAACCGGTTTGGCTCAGTGGATAGAGCGTCGGGCTGCGGACTGAAGGGTCCCGGGTTCGATTCCGGTCAAGGGCATGTACCTGGGTTGCGGGCACATCCCCAGTGGGAGATGTGCAGGAGGCAGCTGGTCGATGTTTCTCTCTCATCAATGTTTCTAACTCTCTATCTCTCTCCCTTCCTCTCTGTAAAAAATCAATAAAATATATTTAAAAAAAAAAAACAGATTCTTTGTGACTATTTATCAATACATTTATCAACTGAAATAACAAGCAATATTATTTATATCTTAAACATCATCTTTTTTTTTGAGTAGAAATGTAAGAGAGAAGACATCCTTTTACTTATTTTCAAATTCTAAATCACTCACTTGGGTCATGGACTTAAAGACATTTATGTTGTATGCTAACATTTTAAGTTAAATAGAAACATCCTGAAAAGACAGTATTGAGCTCTACTATGAACCTGGTGGGTAAAACAGATAAGGAACAGAGATGATTCTGCTAGATCTCACTCACCCTCCTCCTTGATCTGGTGATGATAGGGCAAAAACTAATATATAGATGCAAAGTGGCTGGGAAAGCTGTATCTACAAAGAATTAAAAGAGTGTTTACAAAACTAAGGAAGACTTCCAATACCCTTTACACACTGATCCCAGTTTTTTTTTTTAAAAAAGAGACAATTACAAATAAACAAATGACAAAGTACAGAGAATCTACACTAATAAAAGAGAAACATGGTAATTGGTGTACGACCGCTACCCTTTTCATTGGCTAATCAGTGAGTATATGCAAATTAACTGTCAGCCAAGATGGCAGCCGGCAGCCAGGCAGCTGGAAGCAAACTTGAGGCTCGCTTGCTTCAGTGACTACGGACTCCAACGTTCCCCGCCTCACTTTCCGGCCTCTCAGTTGCAACTCTAAGCAACTATCTACTATGTTGCAAATAAGAAGCTAAACAAAATCCCAGAAACCGGCTTTCAGTCAGCCGGGCTTTAGCAACATTGTATCGATGTTTTCAGCGGCGAGGCCTCAGAGCTAAAGCTGGCCCAGAATAAAAAAAATAAAAAGAAAACAAGGAGCAGTTGGAAGCTTCAGTCACCTCGCTTCCGGAAAACAGCCCTCAGCCCCTCACCCAGACTGGCCAGGCACCCCAGTGGGGACCCCCACCCTGATCCAGGACACCCTTAAGGGCAAACCAGCCGGCTCCCACCCGTGCACCAGGCCTCTATCCTATATAGTAAAAGGGTAATATGCCTCCCGGCACCGGGATCAGCAGAGCAGCGAGGCTCCCGGCACCGGGATCAGTGTGACAGGGGGCAGCGCCCAAACCGCCTGATCACCCTGTGGCTCTGTGTGTGACAGGGGGCGGGGCCACAACCTCCCTATCCGCCCTGCTCTGTGCCTGATAGGGGGGAGCTCCCCAATCCCCTGATTGCCCTGCGGCTCTGTGTTTGACAGGGTGCAGCGCACCAACCCCCTGATCCACCCTGCTCTGTGTGTGACAGGGTAGAGCCATAACCTCTCCATCGGCCCTCCCCTGAGTGTGACAGTTGCGGCGCCCCAACCCCCTGATCGGCCCTGCTCTATGGGTGATAGAGGGTGGCGCCCCAACCCCCCTCCACGGGCCTTGCTCTGTGTGTGACAGGGTAGAGCCATAACCTCCCCATTGGAGCTGCCCTGAGTGTGACAGGGTGCAGCGCCCCAACCCCCTGATCCACCCTGCTCTGTGTGTGACAGGGGGTGGTGCCCCAACTCCCCTGATGGGCCCTGTTCTGTGCGTGACAGGGGGCAGCACTCCAACCCCCTGATGGGCCCTGCTCTGTGCGAAACAGGGGGTGGCGCCGCAACCTCCCCATCGACCCTGCCTTGAGTGTGACAGGGGGTGATGCCCCAACCCCCTATTTGGCCCTACCCTGAGCGTGACTGAGGGTGGCATTGCAACCTCCCGATCCGCCCTGCTCTGTGCATGATGGGGCGGCGCCCCAACTCCCCAATCGGCCCTGCTCTGAGCCCGACCAGGGGCTGCACTTAGGAATTGGGCCTGCCCTCTGCCACCCGGGAGCAGGCCTAAGCCAGCAGGTCGTTATCTCCCGAGGGGTCCCAGACTGTGAGAGGGCACAGGCCGGGCTGGGGGACCCCCCCCCCCGCCCGCCCCGAGTGCACAAATTTTTGTGCACCGGGCCTCTAGTGTTATATATATTAAACAACTATGCATTACTGCCCTGAGGTAATAAATGTTAACATTTTTGCTATATCTACTTAAAAAAATTCTTTTTGAGAAATATGTAGCCCCTCACTGGCCCCATTCCCTTCATGGCCCAGAAGTAACAGCTATTCTAAAACTGATGAATATCCCTCCTAACTATATTTTATACTATTATCACACATATGTCTCCATAAACAATATGCACTATTCTTTGAAAACTTGGATGGTTCCTTTTGCTCCCTTTTTTTTCAAATCCTCACCTGAGGAGTGAATATGTTTTTCCCATTGATTCCTAGAGTGGAACGGAGGGGAAAGAGAAAAACATCGATGTGAGAGAGACACATCAATAGCCTGCCTCTCCCAAGCGCCCGGACCAGCATTGGGGATCCTGCCTTCAACCGAGGTACTTGCATGCCCTTGACCGGAATCAAACCCACCACCCTTCAGTCTGTGGGATGACACTGTAACCACTGAGAAAATTTGGCCAGGACAGAAAGACTCTCTTTATAGAAATAAAATTGCAGAAACTTAGAATCAGCATATTTTTAAGTCAATAATCGATCAATTTGATCTCTAAATTATAACAATTTTCATTGCCATTAGCATTGTATGAGAGCTTCTGCTTCCTCAAAGTCTAACCATAATCTATGTGGTATTGTTAGACTTTTGGCTATAGTCAATCTCATTGGTGTGAAATGGTATCTCAATAAGATTTCAATTTGTATTTCCATGATTATTAGTGAAGCTGAATACCATTATCATATGTTTATGGGCCATTCAGGTCTCTTCTTCTGTTATTTGATTTTTCTTATCCTTGGCTCATTTTTCTATTGGATTGCTCTAAAAAAAAGTTTTTGTCCATTTCTTTTTTATTTGTAGGTATTTTTAAAATAAAATATTCAGGATAGAAATCCATTATTATATGTTGTAAATATCTTCTACTCTGTGGTTTGATTTTTTTTTTTTTGTAACTTTGTTTTTTTTGTGTAGGAGTCTCCCCACCTCTCACACACACTTTCTTTTTTTGCTATTGAACTATAACATACATATAGTTATAGATACAAATCATAAGTATATAGCACAACAAATTTTCACAAAATAAACACACCCCAGTAACCACTACCCAGGTAACTGCCACCCAGGTAAAGAACTAGAACATTATCAGCATTTAAGAAGCCCTCTTCATACCCTCTTTCAAGCACTCCTCCTCCTTCCTTTCTAAAGGTAAAGCATGGTCCTTATTTCTAACACCATAGATTAATTTTGCCTGAACTTTATATTCATGGAATCATACAGATTGTACTCCTTTGTATCTGGCTTCTTTCACTCATTATTAGGTTTTTGAGATTTATGCATGTGGTTGTGTGTAACTGAGTTGAAGTGTAACTAAGTAAAGTGCATCTTAACCCCCACCCTGTTTAACTCCTAATAAGATTTTTTTTTAAATCAGCCCCTAAATAGAGCTTCAGAGGAAGTTGGTATGAACTGAAAAGCAAAAAATTTCTGTGATTTCAGGTACTTACATCCCAAAACCCTTATGAAGGAGGGACCTAATCTCACTCCCAAATATCTAAAATCAGAGGTAAACTGAAGTATTTAATTTTTTAAAAAATAGATTTTTATTGATTTCAGGGAGGGAGAGGGAGAGAGAGAAACATCAATGATAGCAGAGAATCACTGATCAGCTGCCTCCTGCATGCCGCCTGACTGGGGATCAAGCCCACAACCCTGGCATGTGCCCCTGACCAGAATAGAACCCAGGACCCTTAGTCTGCAGGCTGACACTCTATCTACTGACCCAAACCAGCCATGGCTAAACTGAACTATTTAAATAAAACTACAGCTGAAACCAATCCTAGCACAATCCCTAGGGGGACTGAAGTGATTTGCTCCTTATCCTAGCTCCCAGACAAAGAAAATAGTGTATTCTCTCGGGGAAGGGGGTTAACCTTATATAAAGAGATTAACCAAAGAATTTATATGCATATATGCATAACCCATGGACACAGACAATAGTACAGTGAAGGCCTGGGGAGGGGGCAAAATCAAGGTGGAGTGGCTCAATGGGGGGAAAAAGGGGGACATCTGTAATACTTTCAGCAATAAAATTTTTTAAAAATTATATGCTGTGTCTATTCATTTAAACACAATGTCCAATATACAAAGTCATTTGAAGCAGATCTATAGATGACCCAGGTGCTGGAATCAGCAGACGTAGATAAAGATGACTGCTATATATCTGTTAGAGAATTTAGTGAAAATATGGACAAATTGGTGAACAGAAAGGGAATTTTAGCAGAGAAACTGAAACAGGAATTCTAGAACTGAGAAGTACAATACTTGAAGTAAAAATTTTATTAGATGGGCTCAACATCAGATTGGACCCAGCATAAAAAAGGGTCAGTGAACTTAAAGATGGGTCAATTGAAATGATCCAAAATGAAACACAGATATACAGTACATGAAAATAACAGAATAGAAAAGTATCAGAAACCTGAGAAACACTATCAAACTATCCTGAAATACATGTAATTGGAGTCCTAGAAGGAGAGGAGATAGAGAACAGTGTAGATCAGGGGTCCTCAAACTACGGCCCACGGGCCACATGCAAATACAAATATTGTATTTGTTCCCGTTTTGTTTTTTTACTTCAAAATAAGATATGTGCAGTGTGCATAGGAATTTGTTCATAGTTTTTTTTAAACTATAGTCCGGCCCTCCAATGGTCTGAGGGACAGTGAACTGGCCCCCTGTTTAAAAAGTTTGAGGACCCCTGGTGTAGATGAAGAGATATGGCAGAAATTTTCCCCAAATCTGTGAAAGACATAAGCCCACAGATCAAGAAGTTCATGAACCCTAAATTGGATAAATACAAAGAAGATTCTACCTAGACATGTCTTAGTCAATTGCTGAAGATTAAAGAGGGGGAAAACAGAGAAAGCAAAAAACACATTACATTTAGGTGAACACCAGGAATCAAAACTGACTTCTTATACCCGGCTGGTGTGGTTCAGTGGGTGAGTGTTGACCTGTGAACCAGGAGGTCACGGTTTGATTCCCGGTCAGGACATATATCCAGGTTGCAGGCTTGATCCCCAGTGTGGGGCATACAGGAGACAGCCAATTAATGCTTTTTCTCATCATTGATGTTTCTATCTCTTTCTACCTCCCACATTCTCTCTGAAATCAGTAAATATATATAATTTTTAAAAGATAGGGGTTATTTGATCCTATAAGCCTGATAAAGTGTGTGTATGTAGATTTTTTTTGACTATTTCAAGTTCAATAGTTCAAGTTTTCTGCACCTTCTTTTTAAAATTAACTTGAGAAAGGAAGGGAGAAACACTGATGTTATTCCACCCATTCATGCATTCATTGGTTGAATCTTATATGTACCCTGACAAGGGATTGAACTTGTGTATTTGGATGATGCTCTAACCAACTGAGCTACCTGGCCTGGGCAAGTTTTCTACACCTTCTTGAAACAATTTTAGAATTTATATTTTATAGAAAATTATCCATTTCTTCTTAGTTTTTATATTTATTGGCATAAAATTCATTTTTTTATTGTGATTTTGAAATCTAGTATGACAATATTAAAACTGTGGTAAGACTGGTCAAGAAGAAGGCATATATTCTAATATTTTTTATTCGTGCATTTTTCTTGCTTTTATTACGACTGGTACCAGAGGACTGGTATTAGATAAATATTAACCCTTAGTTCGGGAAGATTGTGAATTCCTAAAAATAATAGATTGATGAACTTGGATGTTAATTCTCAACAAAATTATTGAATTTCATTATTAAAATTATGGCTTTGAAAAGGTAAATAAGAATGTAGTAAAATAAGAAGCAGAAGTAACTTTAGGTCACAAGAGTTACACCATACCTATACATTTGTTTAATGGAGTCACTACCAATTAGGAATATTTTTCTGAACATTTCAACAAAACTTCAGATAAAGCTTCTCAAGATATCCTATGGAGCCGAAATCGGTTTGGCTCAGTGGATAGAGCGTCGGCCTGCGGACTGAAGGGTCCCAGGTTCGATTCCGGTCAAGGGCATGTACGTTGGTTGCGGGCACACCCCCAGTGGGAGATGTGCAGGAGGCAGCTGGTCGATGTTTCTCTCTCATCGATGTTTCTAACTCTCTATCCCTCTCTCTTCCTCTCTGTAAAAAATCAATAAAATATATTTTAAAAAAAAAAGATATCCTATGGAACAGATGGAGAAATGTGGGTTGGCTGACAGGTGGTACTTTAGGTAGATATTTATGACTCTGAATGGCTATACTAAAAGAATGATGATTAACAGAACAAAATAATACTTCTGTGGAAGACCTCTATCCTTATCCCCATTCAACATTTTTATTAAGGATGAAAAAAGTATGCTTATCAATTTGCAGATGACACAAATTGGCTAATATGCCAGATGACAGAATCAGCACACAAAAATATCTGAGCAAGCTAGAAAGATGGGTTGCAATCAATAAGATATTATAAGGATAAAAGTAAAAGCCTATCTACTCAGACTTAAAAAATCAATCACACAAGGATTAGTCTAGATTGGGGTTGGCAAATGACTGCTTGTGAGCCCAATTCTAGTCTGCCACCTGTTTTTGTATGGCCTAAGAATGCTTTTCTATAATATACTAGAGGCCCAGTGCACAAAATTTGTACACAGGTAGGGTTCCTAGCAGCTACTGGCTGGGGCACCTCCCTTCCCTGGCCGCCTGCTATTGCTGGCCTGGAAGGCCTCCCTTCCCGGCCCTGCCCCCTGGTAAAACTCCTGGTTGAGGGGACAATTTGCATATTAGCTTTTTTTTATTTTTATATAGGATAGGTTTGATTCATTACAAAGTCACTCTAAGGCAAGAGTGTACTATATCTGCTCCCAAAGGTAAAAGAGTTGCACTCCATCAAATTTCCAGGCACTGTGCTAGTAATGCAAAGATGACTATACCTAAGACAAAGATAGTGACTAAAACTTGGTTCTTGCCTTCAAGCTCAGAGTCAAGGAAGATGGATAAGCATGCATATAATGTTATATGCTTATAGTGTGATCTACATCCAGAATGCTGTGTTCAGTTCTGGGTAGTACATTTTAAAATATGTATTTATTGATTTTAGAGAGAGAGGGGGGAGTGGTAAGGGATAGATAGAAACATCATGAGAGAGAACATCATCCATCAGCTGCTTCCTGCATGCTCCCCACTGGGGATCAACCCCAAAACCTGGGCATGTGCCCTGACCAGGAATCGAACCGTGACCTCTTGGTTCCTAGGTCAATGCTCAACCACTGAGCAATACCTGCCGAGCTAGGTAGTACATTTTAAGTAGGACATTATCAGGCTTGATATTGTTCAGAGGAGAGCAAAAAGTTCTGACAATCTATAAAGTATGTTACATAGATAAAGCTAAAAGAACAGGGGCTGAAACATTTCAAGAAATGAGAGAAATATGACTATAATTTTTAATATCACATGTGTTCACAAATGGAAAAAGGATTAGAAATTTTCTTTTACAACTAGACTGAACAAATGTGAATTTTAAGCAGGAAGACATCATCGATATAAGAACTTTCTGGAAAAAAGTAAAGATTTAAAATCTTTTCCATCTCTGAAAGTGTCCAAGAAGACTAGGTAATAATCTATGAAGGAAACTAAAGAAAGAATTCCTGCATTTGGTGGTTCTTTCAGATTCAATCAAATTCTAGGAAAGGTAGATTGCGAACAGATAATTAAGGATCTTAATAGTCAGGTTAAAGGCAATGGGTTTAAAAAAAAAAATAAAGACAATGGGTTTTATCCTGTAGCCCCATTTTCCTCAGCGACATTTAACAATGTCTAGAGACATGTGGGCTGTCACAACTTGGGATGGGGTGTGATGCTATTGGCACACAGTGGGCATTTTGTCCTGCCCTGCCCTCTAAATCCAGAGCCGCGGAACTACCCACGCACCTCCCGTTCGCCTGCCCTTTCAGATCCTTCCTTCCAGAAGCCCCTCCAGGTTAGTCCTCGTCCTCTTACTCCGTAACCAGCCCCCTTCTCCCTGGCCGCCCCTCCCCCTGGCATCCCCTGGGCACTCCCGTGTAAAGGAGGACACAGCTACTCCGGCCCCAGTGCCATCTGCGCTGGGGACCCCTCCGAGGCAAAGCTGCCCCGACTCCGCCCCTCACCTCCATCCCAACACAGGCTCCTCCTAAGTCCAGGCCGTCTCAAGACCTCCGAGAGCCCGAAACACTCATACACGCCCCAAATTATATGAAATACACTAATGAACCCACATCCTACATTAAATCTGGTAGATGTAGTCATTGCAATCGTTTTTTCCCTTTTGGGGGGGGGTCAAAACATTATTTCAAAACTCAAAAAAGTTCGTGGGCTGGCATTCATGTGTCTCTAGGGCTAAAGACCTTCGTCAGGCTTTTCCCATCGCAGCCGCCGCGCCGGCCGCCCCACAGCGCCCTCCCGCCGCCCGCCTCCGCGCCGCGCGTCCCCTCACCATCCCCCCGCCCTCGCCCTCCGCCCCCTCA